CGTGGGGGGGAGTTCCTACGGGTGCGCCCTCTCGTAGCCGCTAGCAAGCAAGCAAGCAAGAGAGAGAGAGAGAGCATCGATCTCTCTTTCGGCATTTAGATTTGGAGAGAGCAGCGAGCTGTCTGAGGCAGCTCGCAGAAGCGGAGGCTGCTCTCGCTCCTCGGCATGCAGCGACAGGATCAAGAGTTTCGGATGCCACCACATCCCCTGCCAAGTCGGCAGCTCGAGAGGTGTAAGGCCCTCAATTCCGCAATGCGGCCCTACCGTCAGCCTTGACCCCATGTGGCCAAAATGTGCATGACGCAATGCAACCCTTTCCGCAGAGTACGTTCAGCATGCATGACGATTTCTTTGTACTTGGGGTGCTGTTTAGGCCGGGTGGTCTGTGTGTGATTAATGTAGCTGCCAACTTCTGCCTAATACTATATCAGTCGCAGGGCATTGCGGCCCTCTGAACTAGCCTTGAATGCAGGACGGGCCATTATGCGCTTGTCTTGATTGATGCAAGACTCTAAGCTTCCAGTCCCGGCAGATGCCGGCAGAGTCGGCCTCGCAGAGAGAACACAAGCAGCAGCTTCCAGCGCACAGTTCCCCGGAAAGACAAAGGCCGCACCGAAAAGAAGCTGCAATCTTTATATCACATCAAGACTAGATATCTTCTCACACTTCTTCTTTTCGCCTAATTGGAAAGCATCCTCCACTGGCCGCCCGCTGCACGGGGGGGACCTCCTGAGAAGCCTTGCCAAGCAAGACCCCAAAGCCTAACACACAACGCACTTCAGCCCGGTACTGTCCATCTCAGCCTGACCCATGAGCACCCAGGCGATCAAGAAGGCCTGGGCCCGGACCGGAATGCCTTGAAGTTTTCCCTTGTTGTCGCTTGTGCGGGCCCTGCAAGACGCGAGATCTTTCAGAGTTCAGGCTGTCGCCCTGTTCTAAGCCTGGCAATGCGCATTGCGCCGTCGCACCTCCTGCAACAGGCAGAGCTCCAGAAGGTTCAAGACAATGTCGCCAAACTGCTCGAGGACTCTCATTGTCAAATGCGAGTCCTGAGCATCCCGCAGTCTCGTCAGTCCCTCCAGGGCATCCCAACAGCGAGCCGAAATCATTTCCGAAGCGGTTACGCTCCGAATTCCGAAGTCAGTGAGAGTCGAAACCGTTTCAGCAGAGCCCAAGCCGAAGCTGCTCTGCTTCACATGGTGGGTCTTGTCGTCCGTCGACTGCCGCCTTCCAGGACTTTGCGACAGCTAAGCAGAAGAAGGATGACCTGCAGAATCAGTTCGAGGCGCCTCGGTGTTGAGGGCTTCTCGCCCTGTAGACTTCGGGGGCCCGGGTCGACAGCTGTTTCCCTAAGCTGCAATACCGATTATTGTGGGGTGAGGCTGGTTGGAAGGCAGTTGCGGTAGTGACTTTGGGAGCCGCATACATCACGAGGTTTGCTCCAAGCGCCTCGTCACCGCAGAGAAGCTAATCAACGGCCTTGGCCGCTTGGACTGTGAGGTCTTGGGATCGAGTTTGCAGTTCTTGGACGTCTATGGCTCCCTTTCGAAAGCCACCATCACCTCAATCCGTGTTTTAGGGCCCTCATGCGTGTCCTGCCGAGGTGGTGAAAAGTCACGCTGGGAAGCGTCATCCGCCAAGTTGGGTGAGCAGCTGCCTGGTGGCATATGTCCGGCAGAAGTTTCAAGACATCGTGTCGGTTCAGATTCGAGCCAGGGTAGTGCCGGTAGTGCACCTACAATTTTGTGCCTGACATCGGGCACGCCGGTGCTGGGAGTTCAACTGAGGTATGACAACCTGACAGGGGATGTCTTGATCTCCTCGGGAATTATTGCTTACCTCGGCTGCTTTCTGGCCAAGTACCGAAACGAATCGGTGGACTCCTGGATCTCTCTCATGCGCGAGAACAAAGTGCCCTCTTCTTCGTCCTTCTTGCTGCGATCTGTCATCGGCGAGGATGTGGCCACAAGCCGGCAGATAGAAGGCTTAAAGCACCTCCCAGAGTACAAAGGAAGAGAAAGGCATGCAGTATAGGATATAGACTCTATAGACGAGTTGGGGCTGAGTCTCTGAGAAAAGCTTTCAGGCATCGCGTCAGGGGTGCTGTGGTGTCCCTGCGCTCAAGTCAGAGTCTGAGCATCAGGTGATTCGCCAGTGGGTCATTGACAAGCTACCCAATGACCAGGCAAGTTGGCATCCACAGTTATGTACAGGCTTTGGCCAGCCATGTAGCAATAGTGTAGTAGTATATATAGTCTTGCCAATCGGCTGACTTTCGATCTGCTGGGATGTCGAATCGAGCCGGTGGCATCATCACGGAAGCCGCTTGTGCGGATGATCAGGGTGCACATGCAACTGTCAATCACGTTCAGGCTTGAGCTGTAGAAATGGACTCTGAACGGGGGAACATGCAAAGCCCGACTATGCATCCGGAAGCATGGACCGCGAAAGCCGATCTCCAAAATGTTGCTTAAAGGGACTGGTTGTGCCTGCATCGTCTCGTGCGAGCGATTTTTCCTGGCCCTATAGGCCAATAAGCTTGTTGCAAGAGAGCGAGTCCGCGAGTCCAAACCACTTGAAAACAAATGGATCCCTTGCTCAGCCGGGGCTGGGTTCCCCTGCTAGGTGTCTATCGACAACGCCTTGATCTTGTCAAACTCCAGGCGTTGGCCTTTGATGATCGACCCGCAAATCCAGGCCCGCGCTTGGGTTTCTCTGGCTCTCTGTCCAAGCGGGGTTTATGGCTGTGACTTCGGGAAGGGCCTCCTGTGGGCATTTCCATTGCAAGCTGGAAACATAAATGCCGAGAGGCCAACAAGTGGATCCGTAACTCAAAGGGTGACAAGCTCCTGGTCTTGCGTCTCTCGCAGCATCCGGGCAGCAACGCTTTGGGATCGGGGCCGTCTCGGCGTGGCATCCGGACGTTGAACACTATAGTGTGCTGCTCGTTTGTTCAGGGTCCGCAAGGAGGCCTGCGAAAGGTGGGTTGGAAATTTTCAGTTTCTCCAAACCCGGGAGCGGGGAAGGGGCTAACCACCGCCCACGACAGTACGTGCGACGCATTGACTATAAAATCTGGAGACCGGACATCAGCTGCGCACTTCACCCAAAGCCTCTGTCTAAAGTGACATGCAAACGCAAAAGCAAGCTCTTTCGAGAAGCACCCCCAGTGCCCCAGTCAGCCGAGGAACAACTATGCGCGGAAGCTGGAGGTTGGCATCTCCCAGGGCCTTCCGGTGCTCATCGAGAACGTGCCTGAGGCAGGGCCCAGTTTTTCAAAGGGCCTCCCGTCTCAGCACGGGTTTGGGGGTGTTGTGAGGTCCGTTTTGTCGGGTGTTCTCCAGCGCCATGTGGGGCGCTTCGAGCCTGCAGCGGGAAGGTGTTGGATCCCTTGCTGGAGCCGCTCCTGCAGAAAGCCAAGTTCAAAGCCGGCAACATGATCATGACGCTCGTCTCCGGAAGATGTCGGGCCTTGGGGGGATATCTCCAAAAGCTCGTGAGGACTCAAGGCCGCAATCTGTTTGGCGAATGCTCCAAGCTCTGCTCAAGCTTAGGATTCGGCTCGGTGACTCCACGGTCGAATACAACGAGGACTGCTGTTTGGGGCGAGGGCTTCGGCCCGGCTTAGGCGAAGAGGGGCTGTGAGCAGTGGATTCCAGAGCATCTAATTCGCGAGTTCAGAGGCTTTTATGCTTGGTGTGCTTTCTGGGATGGCGCAGGAATTCCGCCTCTACATCACGACGAAGCTCCCCAACCCGCACTACTCACCGGAAATCTGCGTGCAGGCAGCCGGCCCAAGTTGCGAGCACCTTAAGGAACTTAAGGGAGCCCCTGCAACCATGAAGGTGGTAGATCAAATTTTCATGGAGTGACCCACGCAACCCACGGCCCGGCCCGAGCCTGGCACCCTCCATCTTTGGCACTGCGCAAAAGGGGATATGTATTGAAGGTCACATTGCTGAACTTCATGGTGACGCCGGATGGGTTGCAGGATCAGATGCTTGGCATCCTCGTCGCCAAGGCGTGCCGGAAAAGAGCCTCCTGTCGGTCTTGGGCGAGCATTGTGCAATGATTTGGCGATCCCTGCCAGGAAGAGCCAGAAGTGGAGAAGAAGCGACAGAATCTGCCCCTCCGCTGCCTTGGCTGGACAATCGTGCCCTCGGATCCCAAGCTGCGCTCAGGATCATCGAGAGTGCGCAGAGCAAGGCACAGCTCAAAGAAATCGAGGCCCGGGAAACGGCTCGGACGGAGTTTGCATGCAGGGTGCTTTAGCTTCTGAAAGGAAGAGCATATTCAGGATATGTGGCCTGCAGGCACCCGAGGCAGGCAGGTTGTAGCCAAGGCTTGCGTCGTCATGACATGTCTGTTGCATCCTGTTGCTGGCGCTCGCTGCAGTTTCCGAAGTGGACATTCAATGTCGGTGCAGGACAAAATCCTCGAGCTGCTCTCAAACTCCAAAGGCAACATTTTGGATGACGAGGACCTGTCGCTGTCGAGTTGCAGGGAGTTGCCCTCTCCTCGTTTAGGGTCTTTGAGTCGAACGTTCCATGGTATCATTTGTCCCTCTCATGAGCAGCTTCTTTGGGCAGCCTGGCGCTCCGCGGACAGAGACATGATCCGACAGCTGGCCTCATTACGGGTGGGTGCATGCTGGCCTCGACGAAGCTCCAGCAAGCCAATCAAGTTTAACTCTGCAGGACTCCAGGACACCCTGCAGCATAACGCTAAACTATCACCAGTCCGGAAGGTTCAATTCCAAGGAATTCACTTCCTGGAGCCTATAACCCCTTGCAGCATTTATGCCAAGGGTCAGCGCAATCGTTTCAAGCTACCTATACAGTAGTGACTGCTTATGTCATTAAGCTTTCTATATGTACCTCATTAAATGATGGTCACAGACATGGGTGGAACGTGGCTTTATGCAAGGCAACACTCTCGCTCCCCGCATGCAAGCCAACTCTAGCCTTCGACGCCGGCAGGAACTCATCACGACATTGGCCAATTCGAAGGTAACGTCCACACGCACCTTTGCAGTCATTAACTTCAACAATGATGTGGAGATTTACGGGTTGTGGCATCATAGGCCAGCCGTGGGACAACTGAGGGCAAGCACACATGGGTATCAGGTTCTTGTCAGATTTGGTCGCACCAGGAAGACGCCAACAACTTTTTCTGTCTCTGCAGGCATCGAGGAGCGCGTGAAGGAGCAGGAGAAGACGCACCTTGGTTCTCAACAGAACTTTGAAGAGCCAGGGTGTTTATCAAAGCCTGCTGGTACCCAAGTGCACAGAACCAGTAATTGCTTGAGTGCGCTGCTGCGATCTCGGTGGAGCCGCGGGGAGTTCGAGATGTGGGAAGCCAGCAGGGTTTGAGCTTTTGATATGTTGAGGATGCCGTGGACTTGAGTTGAAGCAAGCCGCAAGAGGCATTCCTCCTGTTTTCGGCTTGTGAGGCAGGCGCTTGTGCAGGAGACTCGTGAGACTTACGCCGCTTGGCGCGCGCTGGCGTAGACGTGCACATGGTAGAGAGCATTGAGAAATGAGAAATCGAAGTCGAAGCCGTTGGCATGCTTGAGTATGTGGGTGTGTTTCTGTGGGAGAAGGTGCGGGAACAGTTCGAACAGATTGGTGCATTGCGTTGCTTACACAACTCCCGCTTAAATGCAGAGGTGCCGGTCTCCATTCGCAGCTCTGCGATGTTCTTTGTCGTCGCGGACTTGTGCAAGGACAACGGCAGCAGTTCCTGTAGAACACTGACCAACAGAACTATACATATAGTGTGATATGTCTGAAGATATGCTGACAGTTGCCCATCGCAGAAAAAATGCACACTGAAAATACCATAGATCTTATAAGACCTCCTAGAGTCGCCTAGAAATCTGATGTCCCCTGCGGCAACCTTCTGATGGCGTTGGTCTGCGGCAGGTTGAGCCCATGTATCAGTACAGCTCCTTGGCTGCCGATGCTTTATGGCACGTGCCGCAAAACGTCGGTCGCCTTTAGACTCATTGGCTCTTGTCATACTAGAAATAGAAAAGTAGTCCAGACATGTAAATGTACAGTAGCCAGGTGGGCAGCTGAACCGTTAAGCATCCTAGGGATCTTCGCATGTTGCTTTCAGAGCCGATGCTTATCACTTTTGTCAGAGCTCGGGTGCTTTAGCATTGCACGACGCCAGCATTGGCCTTTTCGTCACGGAACTTCTGTGATCCAGAAGTTCATCCGTGTGAACCGTCACCAAACGGCAGCCAATTGACCGAGGTCTGGAGTGGTTCATCGACATTTTCCTCCTTGCAATCAAGACCGCGGAGAAGCCTGAGCGAAATCTTCAGCGGCGTCTGACCGTGCCAAAACTGAACAGAGAGTTGGAGTTCAGGGCTGGATCGTGTGTGGGCTTTGTGGTGCTGTGGTCTGTGCCTGTGCTTCCGGTTTTGGCGTGTCCTCTTGGCGATTCAACTTGGAATCGCAGGCTCTGCAGAACCAGTTCATCAAGCTACTCTACGAGAAGGCCTGCATGTTTATAGCTGGATTGACTTGGGAGCAGATGTATGCCTGGGCTTCCGGCACTTGTCATGACACTGTTTAGCCGAAAGTTAAACGATATCAGCGAAGGTGATCAGCAGCTCAGAATGCAGATGCCCGCAACATCATGTTCATGTTCGGAACAACTTGTTTGAGATCGTAGGCTTAGGAGGAACGACGAGCTATGCACCTTCTCTGTCAGTTCAACAGTTCAACACTTTATATACCTGTATTGCCATGCACCCATGAGAGCCACACGGTCGGTAGCCCCTTGACTATCGAAAGGCTACAAAAGGTCATAGGCTTGTGGCATCTGAAAGAGGGGCCGACCATTTTTGAAATGGACCACCCCGAAAATCTATCCTGTTGTGATCATAGTGTTCGCATACATGCCTGAGCCCTGCTCACGGGCAGATGTCCTCCTGGTGTCCTCATGCCACAGGCAAGTGTAGCCATCCATCACCGACCATCACCTGTGGTTTAACTCGATCTTCGAGCCAGGTCTGCGACTCCCTCTTCGCGAAGGACAAGCTCATGCTGTCCCTGCTGCTCACATTCAAGTCCATGGAGGCTGGAGTCCGGAGACATGACTCTGCAAGATTGCGAGGGAAACAACCAAACGGTAGAAGGGTGGCAGGCTGTGGCATCTGCGCTGGTTGCACTGCAATTGCACAAGCCTCTTGGACCTGCCCCCCTGATCACTTTCAAGACGTTGCCACCAGGTGGACCACGATCTGGACCAGGCAGAAAAGAGCTTACTCCTCGTGGGCGGTACCACCGGAGCAGAGGCGAAGATCCAAAGTACATGGAGCCGGACAGCACAGCATACCGTGTACTCTGACAGAGGGCTTGGGGAAAACATCAGCGGTGGTGTATAGTTACAGGTACGCAGGACAGACACAACGTAGCTAGATTGAAGCTGAGCCAAAGCCAGGATGCCCCATAGCAAGCTGCTGCCTTTACAGGCACCTGAACTCTGCGCCACGGGACATGCGCTCATAGCCGTCATGGCCTTGTGGCAGGTTCGTCCGCGGCCACAGGCTGAATGGCTCAGTGATGCAGCTTGGTCTTCTTGATTGCTTCGATGAGGAACGTGAGCACGGGTGTCACTGCAAAGGACCGTGCAGGGCAAGTTCCAAGCCTTTGAAACCACAACGTGGAGACAATAAGCCTTCTGTGGCTTTGCCGAGGTCTCGTGGGCACGCATCTCTGAGCTGGAGGCGCGCTGATCTTTGGACCCCGCCCCGTCTCACCAGGGTCATCGGCTTCGCAGCCGGAATCTGAAGGGAGCTCTAGCCGAAGGCGATCTCCTTTCCTGTCCTTTCCTGTAGCTCCCAGGATCTTGGCAAAGGACCATGGCCGGGCCTTGGCCCCGGCATTGCAGTTTGGGGCAGTCTTTGCAGGTAGGGCGTGTGCGGATCCGGATGCGACTGCGATGTGTAAGACTTATTATCAAAGGCAGAGCCCTGCAGGATATCGAATCTGTGTGGGTTGTTTCGGGGGGCTCTCGGACTTGGGCGAGGGCGACTTTGGATTGCTGCTTGCTGAACATCTACACTGCATCCTGCAATCGGAACCCGAGGGGAAGAGGCTTGCAGAAAAGTCGTAGACGCAAGCTCAAGCATCAGCACATCAGACAACATGCTGGTAAACAGAATTTTCTCGGGTGACTCGAGTGGCAAAAAGTCAGAATTTGAACTCGTGGCAGTGGTTGGCTTGATATGTTGTTCTTCTGATGCGGGGGTCCTCTCAAGCTTTGCCCCAGACTCTGTCTTGTACTTTGCTCAGGCTTCTGCGACATGTTCGCGTCACACCTCGATGCCTGGAAGGAGGTTTTCGATTCCGACGATCCAGTCCAGGCCGGTGATGACCCGTCGCGCCGGATGCATCGAGAAGCATGTCAGTAGGTCGCACTTCGCCAAGTATGCACAAATGTGTGCTTGATCGTGCTGAGCTCGTTTTCCTAGCTCGTTTGCGAAGTGCGTGTGTGCGTGTGGGTGTGTGCGTGTGCGTGCGCGCCACCTTGCATACTCCAACGTCGATGAAACTGCAACATGGCTTTGCCCCCGATATGACGGACGTTCGCTTTGCGAGGCACCTTGGCCTGGCGGCTTCAAGGACCAGATGACACCCATGCAGCAGGCGTGGGAAAGGTATGTTGGCTGATGCATCCTCCCAATCCTTCGGCCGGAGTGCTTCAATCAGTACTCAAACGATTGCTGCTGCTACTCCTGACAAGAACTACTACCTCTCTAATTGTCAGACTCCCTTGCAGCGTCAAGCGACATCACAGCACAGCAGAATGCGGTAGAGGTTCGCAGGGTTTGAGTCCCAGCCTTTGCACGGTCCGCACACCGGTGCCCCCGAACCCTCAGAGTTCCAGAAGCCGGACCTGAAACCAGCCCATGCAAGGCACTGGTCCTGTTGGCAGTCCGAGCCGATGCAACGGTTCAAGGAGCGCACGAGAATTCCTTTGGGACTCAGGATGAGGGCCGACGTTGGGTCATAGCACTCGAAGCCACATACGGCCTGCAAGCCACAAGTCGCCCAATCAAGGTTCAGCTAGCCATGACATGGCAAACTCAGACAAGCTACCTGTCGGCTTGGCCCGACAATCCGCAGTCTGGGACACCCATCTAGACAAGCTCAGGTTGACCACATGAGAACATCGACGCTTTAGCTCTCACCTCCTGTCCTGTTTATTGTTTCATCCCCTCTCCCTGCGAGGGCTTCAAAACATCATCATGGCCAAGCTCGGAGCAGATTTCCTGGAACCGCCACCCTTCAACCTTGAGAAGGCTGGCTTAACTGCGTAAGTATCGAGAAGTTGAATGAGCACAGATCTTGTATCTTGTGTGTTCCTGGACATGAAATTTGCGAGAATCAGCCACGCCTTGGTCAATGGCCTAGTGCTGGCGAAGGAATCTTGTAAAGGTCCAGCTTAATTAAACACCAGGTCTACAGTGACAGCAACAATGTCACGCCGCTTATCTTCGTGCTCTCTTCAGGCAGGCTGAGAGCTCTAGGCTAAGCCGAGCCCACAAGCCCACAGTTGCTTGGGTCGACTTCTCCTGTGGTTCAGCGGTCGTCTCGACAATTTCGGGTCACGAAGCTTGGAGAGCAAACCTGGGTTCTGCCGTCGGTCATCGTGAAGACACGGACCTCTGCAAACGCTCCAGGGGCCGACCCAATGGCCGAGCTCAACCGCCTGGCCATCAAGAACAACATGTTCCCGGGCTCTTAGCAGTACTTCTTCTGACGTCGGGTATTCTTGAGGCACGTCGGGTATTCTTGAGTCATCACATCGCAATCACGAGCCTGTCTTCAGACTCTGGGATGTCAGGGGTTCTGGTTTAAGCCTCCCGGAGTTTCCGGGCCTGGCAACGGAGAAAGCTGCAAAAATTCCGAAAACCGGGCCGATGTCCTGCGCTGAGGTTCGAGACCAAGGCGGCCGTGTCCTTGGGCCAGGGCCAGGGGCCGAAGGCCGAATTCGCCATCAGCGAGGGCAAGACAGCTGGCCGCTTGGTCTTCTTTTCTGGTTTCTAGCGGTTTATATAGGGTGTAGGGTTTAGGGTACTCTCTTTTTTTTCTGGCGGTTCTTCCGGTGCAGGTTTGCCTCAAGGCAAGGTTCGAGAGGCCTTGTGCAGCCTGCTCCTGCACATGGCAGCGAAACCGAGGCAACTGGGTCATCCTCCAGAATTGCCATCTCGCAGTTTCATGGATGCCAATGCTGGAGAAGCTCGTGGAGGAGCTCAGCTGTTCCCATCAGAAGAGTGACCAGAGCTATCTCAGATCGCTGCCTGAACTGCAACAGCTCCGCATGTAAGGGGATCAAGCAACTCAGACATGCCAACATCAGCCAGCATCTCAACCTTCGTGACATCCTGGCCTGAACCCAGTCAGGAGTTGGACCCTGACGCTGTCGCCCACACCTTCCGCCTCTGGCTGAGTGCCATGTGCCTTGTCGCGAAGGGCAACCAACTCCCAATGAAGTGACTCAAAGCAAAGCTTCGCAGAGCTGCAGTCCAGAACCTCCCCGTCTAGCCCAGAAATACCCCACGTTCATCCACGCTTCACAGCAGCCCAGGGAGGCTCTTGAACAGAGTCATGCCGTGTGCGGCAGTGCATCTGCCAGGCCGTCGCCCCATTTCCCTGTGAGCGTGCTGCAAAACGGCATGAAGATGACCGTCGAGCCACCGAAAGGCTCGGGGTCCGCAATGCAAGCTTTGCGGCAACTGTCTCTTCTTGCACTCCACATGCAGCATCTAGATTCTGTTCGTGCGCTCCTTGCACTCCTCCGTCAAGCCTTTAACCTGGAAACCCGAACATGCAACACCGAAATGAAAGATGCCCCGAAACTCTTAGCGAAGTGTTGGACCGGAATAAGCATGGTTGGGGCTGCGGTTTTGGTTGGTACAGTCCTGCTGTCAAGAGCCGGATTCCTGTGGAGCCGAGATCTCAAAATTCGCGAGGCTTGAAGTCGAATTTACTTCGTGCCTACCTCTCCTTCGAGGACAGATTCGGCTAGGGTTTAGGGTTTAGGGCTTCAGAGAGACCTCGTTCAAAAAGGGCTTTAGACTTATGTGCTGACTTAGGGGCCTAGGTAGATTCCGACCTGAGATTCGTGAGTGCATTGAGCGCGACATCACCTTGGAAACTCAACTATGACCAGAAGCCCGCAGCAACTTCACAATGTTCGTTGGCCAAGCCTTTCAGGAAGAATGGTTCGAGTCGGCAGGCAACACTGATGCTTCACGCAAGGCCAGCCTGAGTAGATTCGGACCTACGACTAGGCTTTTAGGTGAGGGCTGCCGGATTGTTTGTGTTGAGTTTCGGCTTTACCCACAGGGAACAAGCTGAGCCATGTGGTGCCTGTTAGTTCCTCCAAGATCTCACGAACACTTGCCAGCAAAGGAGTCCGGAACTAGGCCTCGCGATCTACTACTGACCGGATCGAGGCTCTCGAAGTATTGCTACCCGCACAATGACATATCCCTAGACCAGCGCTCCGTGCCGGGAAGGCTTTGATCTGCTAGCTCCTGCTAAGTAGCCATGACTCACGCCCCCACACTCCCACAGTTCCTCCAGTCGTCCCAGATTGCAAACTGCAGATGCAAGAAGCCATGTGGCCCAGGCCCATATTTACTCAAACTGCTGAATTCCGATCTTGCAACAGTTCGCCTTCTTCTTGGGCTTGCGTTGAGTGTTGTAGTCCGAGGCATTCCGGAAGATGCTCTTCGGCCTTTGCTTCTTCCACGCGCTCATCCAGGAGACACGCAGTCTGAGCCCCCTCGCGTCCTGAGTCTTGGGTCCTGTTTGTGTTTAGTGCTTTGCTACGGGGCTCCTCTTGGTCGATGTCGTGGGAGGTCGCCTGCACTCAGTACTTGGCAACGAGTGCAAAACGGGACGACAGAAAAGAACAGTGTGCATGGGGGCACCTTAGTCCCGAGTGCCTTGGTGGTTAAGTTTGCTTGAGTCATGCTGGGGGACGAAGACTTACCAAGATGTCCTTGAGTATTTATATACAATAGCAGAGCTCCTCCATGGCATGGGCCTCTCAGGGCTCACGCGGATATCCACCTGCCATGGTTCGATGAGATAGATCATGTCACAATCTTGCAACATGCGCTCTCTCGGGCGGAGTCCGATGGTTATCTGCGAGATTCGCCGAACCTCGCTGACTTCGATAGCAAGCAAAACCCACAAGGAACTTTCGGATTTCCGACCCCGATAAGCTCGAAGAGCTAGTAAACGAAAACGGATGCGCTTCAGGAGCGATGCAACTACGGACCACTGGGATGGAACATCCCCTACCAGCTCCTGGAATGAGGGAGTGGACTTCTCTTTGGATTGATTTCTGGAGTCTTACAGATCTGGTCTGATGCAGGCGTTTGGAATCTGCGATAGGGTGGTATCATCGCTAAAGCTTCAAGAATAAAGCTGCAGCCTTTAGCAATTTTTAAAAGCCCGAAGCCTCGCTGTCCCGAGTCTGAGAGTCGCTACCGAGTGCTCCTTCTGGGCTCCTTGTGGGATGAAGCGAAGCGGTTGGAGGTTCTGGGTGTTTTTTTGTTGCGGTTTTGGTGACTTTGGTCCTCCGAGACCCGAGTTCGGAGCCCGGAAGCCTGGAATATTCTTTCTGTCAGGGCCAGGAAGGTAGATCGTGAGCGGGCTTTCCTTTGCAGACGGCGTGCGGATAGTGCAACTCCTCAGCGAGAAGTTGGAGCCTGAGGAGCTGTGCCTAAATGGTGCAGGCTTCCAAAGAGAGACTCGAGCTACTACCTTACGGAAGTGAGAGTTTGTTTTCGGGCGGCACCTAGGCCACACAAGCTTGAAGCTTCTCGGAAAAAGTTCTGGCAGCAACACCTTGCATGTTGCCAAGGTTCTCGGAGCCCGATCGCCAGATCTGCGTGTCGCAACTCAAGCCTTCGAGCAGCACTAAACAGATCGGGAGTGGGGGGTCGAGGGGGCCCAAGTCATTCTCTCGAGCTGAATCGACCTGTCAATTCGCGATGCGGCTTCGATTTCGGCTATACTTGCAAGGCTACAGTGCGGCGACGTGTCAGTTTGATATTCTCTCGCGCTTCACTCCGACATGTGCGACTTCACCCAAAGCTCGATGTCTGAAGAATGCGGAAGGGTCAAGGGTCGGCAAGCCCGGACAAGGATAAGAGCACGAGAATCCCGAAGGGCTTGTGACTTGCGAGTCCACCTTCGCATCAGGATGTTCTTGGAAGAGAACGCAGCGATCCCCTACGCAGCTCTGAGCTACACGTGCCACGGTCAGATTAAATGCAGGCTCAGGTCGTACGATGACTGGAGTGGTGTTGTGTATCTTCAGGAGTGCAGCAAACAACAGAGGAAGGAGTTGAAGCTTGGAGCCAGTGCACGCAGCCCCTTCATCCACACAGGGCTTCGGAAGCCAACTACGGCGGGCGTGTGACGGATGCACACGACCGGATCACCATTGCCAACCTCATTACAGACTATTACTGCGACGACATCCTGAAGGCCAGGTGCATACCTGCCACGATTTTGCTGAAGACACCCTTAAGGCTAAGTCAACAAGTGCAGCCCCGGCTGCTTCTGCGTGAGGGTAGAGCCCACAGACGTGCGGGCCAGACTTGGTAACTTGCCCTTACTGCCAAGTCTGCTAAGTCACTCTGTTTCGATGCAGCATTTTACCGGTTCTATGTGCCTGCAGGATGGCTACAAGTTCTCCGAGTCGTGCCCTCAGCGAGCTTCCGCCTCGTGCCATACCTGTGGTGTAGCAGGTTGCTTAAACAGACATCTTAATGATTTCAGCAAGCCTTTTCAGCCCAAATAAATCCCTCCGATTGCAGCTGCTAGCTCAATACCACACAGAACCTCGGTGCTTTTTTGACTGCCACTCACACCCAGGCTAGAGCACCTCTCTTGTGCAAAGACTTTCCAAGGTCCGGGATCTACTATGCGCCCAAGCACCAAGCCCTCTCGGGCTATCTGGACTACATCCGATCGCTACCCATCAACCAGATGCCAGAGGTCAGCTGCGAGTCGGGTCTGCAACTTCTTCCTAAGCTGCTGCCTGCTTTTCACCGCTGGCCAGCTGACTAGTGACTAGATTGTCCCGGCCCCTCAACATGGAGAGTGCTTGGGCTTCAGAGCTTCATGTGCCCACTTTTCGGACATGTTCTCAGACCCTCAAGCAAGGCAAGGCCCAGATGGACCAAACACCACCCCGAAACAAAGCCTGCGATCCTTCGAGCAGAGGCCCACAAAGTTTCAAGCATCTGAGCTGCCAGGCCTTCGGCTTGCATGCCAACGCCAATCTCTCGGCTGCCATTAAGGAGGGCCTGGGCGCCATCTGGCACCAAAGATTAGACTGGACTTGTTTTGAGTGTTCACTACGAGGAAGCTGGGGGATCGCCGATTTCTGGGTGTTGATGACCCACCGCCGTTGACGAGAGCATAGTTGCTTCAGCAAGAGTGAGTAGTTGGCAAGTCTGCATTTATCCCGAGGGTGGAGTCACGACGAAGCCCACCCATTTCACGCCTTCGCATGGTAGGGGTCGGGTGCATCGCTCTCCCACACAAGCACTGCTCTTTTGACCCTGAGCCCGACCTCGAATGCCGGAACTCAAAGCCTCGTTAGAACTTCAGCTCCTTAGATTTGGATGGCTCACCGCGTGTCAACTAAGATCTTGGCGACGGCCAACTCGATGTTGCCCAAGGGCGGGGGAGGAGACGGGGGCGCCAAGACTCCCGTGCCTCGGTAAACGTCCTCTCGTGTGCCATTGTTGGAGGTGCATGCAAAACCTCTCCACCTATCGAATCAAGACACAGCAGCATCTGCGTGCATGTGCATGTGTTGTATCAAGAATTGCCTAAATGCATGTGCATGTGTTGGTTTTCATGCACGCCATGCACAGACCTTTGTCTGTGTACAACCCTAGGGAAATGTTCATAGCATGTGTAACGTGTATGTTGGTATGTATGTTGGTATGTATGTGTATGTATGTATTTATGTATGTATATGTATATGTATATATATATATATTATACCTGCCTGGCTGGCTGGCTGTCTGTCTGTCTGTCTGTCTGTCTGTCTGTCTGTCTATCTATATGTATGTATGTTTGTATGTATGTATGTTTTCATTTATTTATTTATGTTTATGCTTATGTTTTTGTACATGCGTATATCATATACTACACACCCAGAGAAAGACGGTTCCGCATTTTTTCTTAATTGTGGTACGGTGTTTACCCCACCCCTTCCACCAACCGAAATCGGTGGCCTGAATAACCTGTCACCCGTGACCCCCCTTGACCTTGGTTCGGTAGATTTGGCGGCTTGGGTTGGCTTGCGGCCTGGGTGGGATAACTAACTTAGAAGCGCTTTGGGGGATCCGAGGAGTTTGGGGGTCCAGTCTTCAGGGTTGTAGGCTTAGTTGAGGGTTCTTTTCAGGGTTCTAGATGGGTACTGCATATATTTACTTAAGTATACTTAGGGTGTTAGGGCTAGGAGTTTAGGGTTCAGGGTGTTTTGCCTTTTTAGACTTGAGGGTCAGGGGGGTAAGGTCTAGGGTTCCGATCCCTTCAGGATAACTAAGTGGGTTTAGGGTTTAGGGTCTAGGGGATTATAGGGTTTTGGAGCATCGGGCTGTAAGCCCCGCGCTTGGCTCCCAGAAGAGGCTTTCGCAGGCTGGAAGCAGAAGAGCTCCAGGATTTTTGGACGTAGAGGGTTGGGATTTTCGAGGGTGCCATAGGATTGGCCACTCTGAGAAAGGAAGAAAACACAAAAAATCCGCCGGGCCAAAACAAACTCAATATAGACTTCGCTGGAAAATCCAAAACTAAACTGCAGAAGCAAACAACGCATTATAGACTTCCACCTGACAGAGCGAAGTACCACATCAAGAGCTTTGGGATGGCGCGGCAGAGAGAGACAGAGAGAGAAGACGTAGCCATTTTGGCTCAAGCCGCGAGTGGTTCAAGGGGTCTGAGGCCAGCCTGTCTCCGCCCTTGCTCTTCTCTCCGTTCCTTTCCTTTGCTTAGGCCTCAGTCCGCCTAAACCCGGGGGCCTTTCGCTGCTCGCTCGGGCCGTCCTGCGCGATTGCTGTCCATCGTGAAGGGGATCTTTGCGTTCTTCATCGCGGGGGTCCGGGAGGACAAGATAGTAACGAGTGCAGCAGTACGGGATCCCTCTCCGAGGCGTGCGGGGGACAGTGAGAACAGCTACGTGACCGCAATCGGCGGCGACCCTTTGCACTGCAGGGGAGGGGGGTGCGAGTCGGGACTTCCAGGAGTGGTCGCACAGAATATCGAGGTTGTGCATCGTGATACTTTGTCGACGGCACGAAGACCGGCATCTACAATGGCGGGGGCAGCTGAGCAGGGGATAAGTGGTCCCATCGAAATCGACAGAGAAGATAGAGGGCAGGAGGGGACCGAGTCGCCAGCCAAGAAAGGGCGAACACACGAGCAAGCGCTCACCCTGACCATGCTTAGGACTGTTCTGGCAGAAGAACGAGAGCGAGACCGAGCCCATCTCGCACAGAGCCTGGCAAGTGTGCAGGGGGACGTCACGGTGATGCAGGGGAAGGTACAGGCTGTGGAAGCCATCGTTACCCAGCAAGTCCAAGATACGGTCAGAGCCCTGGACCGCGTCACCAAGAACTACGACAGCCAGGCTCAGGCCCTTCAAGAAGTCAGGGATGCGCAAGCCCAGCTGGAGATGCGGCTCACGTCGTTGGAGATGAAGCCACCCTCGTCGGTGGCAGCGGGGAGCACAGTGGATACAGAAGGGGGGAGGAAGCCGGCATTAATCATTGGAGGCTGGCACCCGGACCAGGCGGCAGAAGAGACGCTGAAAGCAGCCAAGGAGGTCCTTCGCTCGCTTGAAGTTCCCCTCAATGGGGATGACTTATTTGAGCCGGGGGTCCGACGCGGCTACGCCATCCTGCCCATCAAACCCAAGCCCTTCGAGGATGAGGACGCACGCAGACTGCGAATACAGGGGGCAATTCAGAGGGTCCGTAACGCGAACATCATGCTCGGCAAGAATGACCAGGGGGGCATGCGCAAACTCTGGATTGCGATCAGCCAAAGCCCTTAGCGACGCCGGCGCGCCAAACTAGCCGGCAAGGTCAAGCGGGCCATCCTCGAACTCGGGGGGTCAACCAAAGAGCTGGAAGTCGAGTTTGCCACGGGCACCGTGTGGTACAACCAGTACAAGGTGTCTAGCGCAACAGCCGAGAAGCCAGCGTCCGCTGAGAGTGTGGGGGCCGGCTGGGTCGATGTGGGGCTCCTAGCCAAGTCCATGCGCAAGACCCTCCGCGAGGTGGAGCAGATCTGGGGCGCCCGCAAAGCGGAGCTCCAATGATGGGAGGAAGCAGCAAAGCAGTTTCACCGTACAGAGAGGGACGAAGGACCCCCGCAACGTCATCGGCGGGGAACTTGGAATGTGGGGGGGCTCACGGCACAACAGGTGCTGGAACTCACCCAGTCGTTCTCGGGGCACCCAGCCATGGAAGCACTGCAAGTCCTTTTACTTCAAGAAGTTATCACCGAGCCGGGGGTTTTCTTCCAGGAGGGCCAAGGTTGGATAGCGATCTTTGGCAAAAACGCTGGAGACTGGCGAGGCACGGCAATTGTCTACAAAAGCCATGGCATGAAACATGCGGACACGCGACTCGTTCCAGGGGGGATCGCCAGCACCCTCACCCAGACTGAGGGGGGCAAGCCTATACGATACCTCGCGGGACACATCCCGCACCGCGCCACCATCGAACAAGCCTCCCGCATCATGGGGGCCTGGGCGCATTCCCTCAGCAAGCCGCGAGTGATACTCGGCTTCGACGCCAACGAGACCTTCAGCGATCCAGACGGGGAAGGATGGCGCGCCCATACCGGGCGAGGAGAAGCTGAGCTGCTGGCCCTCTCTCATTTCGCTCTGGATGGCCCACCACAGGATTTGCACATCCCGACGTACTACCCCTACAACACAGCCCAAAGACCAAGAAGGCTCGACTATGTGGTTTGCAAAGGGGTCGTTGTTGAGCCCGGGGGGGTCATCGAAGGCAGCAGGCACATGGCGAGATCCGATCATGACCTGGTGTGGGTGTCTTTCGCAGTGAACCTCAAGCGAACCATACAGCCTAAGCCGACCTGGGGGGCCAGACGATTCGCCAAGGGGGTCGACGCACGGAAGGAGGTCGCGGTGATCCCGGCGCAGACGGACACACACCACGCCATCAACCAGCTGGCGCTCCGCCTCACAGAGCCGGGAAAGGGAAGCAGCAAGTTCAGGGAAAGTGCCGCACTCCGCCAGCTTCGTCGTCGTGCACAACAACCGCACACCCCCGAAGCCAGAGCCCTGTGGAAGCAAGTGGCCAAACTTCGCAAGCAGGAATTCCGTGCATGGCATGGGGGACTGGTCAAAGCAGCGAGCCAGTCGCACTGGGGGGCATACCGCACCCTCAACCAGCATCATGCGCGCGTCGGTTGGCAACACGGTCTTACAGATGATCCAAGATGGCAGACGCAGTTGCGCAACCACTTCCACTCCATCTTTGCCAAGGCACCCGCAGAACGCACACGGCGCAGGTTGGGGGACACGCGCTGGGCCCTGACAAAGCTGTGCAAACATCAGCGCTGGAACCCATTCACGGCAGACGAACTTCAGCTGGCGACACGCGGACCTGGAAAAATGGGAAAGCAGCTGGCCCAGATGGGGTAACCCACGAGCTTCTACGCCTACTCATGCAGGAGGACCCTTGGTCGGGCAGAATTCTGCACATGCTCAATGACTTCCTCTATAAGGGGGAACTGCCAGCGTCAGTGCTGCGCGGAGCAACAATACTGCTTCCCAAGACGACGGGGGATCCCACAGCATGGGGGGACACGAGGCCCATTACTCTCAGCTCCGCGGTGCTCAAGTGGTTCTCCCAGCTTCTTCTCCTACGTGGGGGCAGACAAATTCAAGACGGGGCTCCATTACAGTGGGCGACTAGGGGCAAGCAAGCCCCCGAACTCCTGGTGGTGCTTCGCAGAGTGGTCCGCCATGCCAAAGAATGGGGGGTCCCAACGTGGATCGTGAAGCTGGACGTGCGCAAGGCATTCGACAGCGTCTGGCAAGAAAGCATGGGGGACATGGTCGCAAGCAAAGTGGGAGGGCTCAGGCCAGGGGGGGGAAGCACGGCAGGAGGGATGCCATGGGAGGCCCGAGCATGGCTCGGACTTCTTGAAGCGAGGGAGATGCAGGTGGCGATCGGGGATACCCTCACCTCAATACCCCAGACGAACGGAGTGAGGCAGGGGTCACCGGATAGCCCCATTCTTTTCAGTCGGATTGTGGCTGACTGCCTGGAAGCTGCAACCAGGGAGACGCAGAGTTTGCTCGCACCGGCTAAGGGGCCTCCACCGCCACAAGCGGGGGGAGCTTTTATGGATGACACGTACCTCTGGTCGCATGATCATGCTCATCTCCAAGCCACCCTGGCAATCCTCGAACGCAAGCTCGCCTGCCATGGCCTTCTCATCAACCCGGGGAAGACGGCCGTGATTTACAGCCAGCCAGACGGTGGGGGCACAAAGGGGGCGAGACCGTGGAGTGCAAGCCGTTCGGGGAGGTCATCGTTGCATTGGGGTCCCCCATTACATTTGGCGAGAGCTCGGCAGCTATTGTGGCCGAGATGAATCACCGTGCTCGCAAGGCGTTCGGCAAGCATGGTCGCTTGCTATGTGCACCCTCGCCTATCAAGGA